AAAAAAAAATCGAAAATTTGAAAAAAAATGGGTCGGCGGGTAATGCAAAACGAAAAATCAACTTTGCGTGGCCTAAACTAAAAATTTTTTTCTAGACCTACTAAGTTTAAATTTTTGAATAAAAAAAGTTCCTAAAATTATATTCACATGCTGGCAATCGCGAATGCGAGGCCCATCGTGTGCAACGACCTATGCAAACAAGGTAAATACCGACCAAGAAGTTCACATCTTGAAAAGTGGAATGGAAGGATGGACAAAAAAATACAAGGATGATTCAGGATTGCTCGAAAATTACGAAGAAGAAGGGTGGGATTATTAAAATATTGTAAAAGCAAGGTGTTTTAATAAGCTTTTATTTGAAATCGATATTTAGTTAAATACATATATATATATATATAAAGGGTTAAATCAGTTTATTTTTTGTGAACAATTAAAATGTATCAGATTAACGTTCTTATTACATGAAAGAAGAATCAAAGTGAAATTAACCAGAATCAATTAGTTGTTAATATATATCAAATATTAAATACGCCACTCTAATATACTTATATGAAGTATGATTAGTTATATTTAAACATTGATTTCCTGACCAGCGATAACTCTTTTGATTTTGATTCTAAGAATTCGTTTAAAGTAGTTTTCTTTGGTTGACTGCAGAACTCGAGATATCATACATAACACCTAAAAAACTACCGCCAGAACAACATTCTCAAAGAGCCACGTTTTTTCTTCGTCCGTCTCATTTCTATAAATGATTGCCCTTACTTCCTGCATGTACGAAATTAATTTGATATATCCATCGAAAAAGGAAATATATTTGATATTCCCCGCATTTTTTTTTTTCCTTCTTTTTTTTCCTAAAGAAAAAAAATACTATATAAAAATATCTTAGAATACTATTAAATGCATGTTCTTTGATTATACATATTCGTAAGAATTTTATTATTCCGGGTTATGATTTGTTGGTTAAATGATATTGATTAGAATATTGTCGCATATATTGTTACTTTTTTTTTTTTTTTTTTTACAAAACGACACACAGGATGTTCTTCTATCGTAGTTGTTAATGATCTATTTATTCTAAGATTTCAAAGCCCAAAACTTCACGAATCAGCTTTTATTGCACTTTGAAACATTTTCGTTTCCGGATCATATATCTTTGAATCACGGACCACTTCTGGAACATCATAAAACCAGTCGCCCAAAATGATACCGCCCAAAACGGCTAATAATACCAATTCAGGTATAGCCTCAAATACATAAGTCATCCACTCGTATCTATTCGTAGAATCTGTAGCATCCGCAAAGGTAATAAATGTTCTGTATACCAATTCGATGAATAGTAAAGATCCACTGGTGTATAACAGCAAAACTTGAAGTTGTTGACCAATAGGTTTCCCAACATAAATCACCGCGAAATAAGTTACATAAATCATGTATAAGCTTAAGCATATTAAAAAGCCTATGTTTGATATTTTACGCAAAATATTGCTGCTAGTATAGTTATCTGTGCCATTATTTGATTCATTATATTCTTGAATGATCTGAACAGCTCCAAAAACTCCGCAAACTGGTAAAACAAATTTCGTCATGTTAACCAAAAGAAGCTCCAAAAATAATCTCGTCTTTCTATCCTTTGATGAATCTGATGATACTGACAATTTTGTAACTAAGCGAATCCAATCGGTGAGTAAAGTATATATTCCCATCATTATGAGAAATTCAAACCCGCACAAAATAAATCCTGAGGCCAGGCCTAATTCATCGATATCTGTATAGAACGCCCACGCAGTGCGAATACAAAATACTATTGTGCGAGAACAACTAAATGTAAATAAATATACATATAATTGCTGTCGATATTGTATTATCCGATATAAATAAAGTATAGATGTCAGAAAGAACAGAATTCCAAAGATTATTGAGGGAACTGGTGTTGGCATCGATGATGAAAACACTAATAGTGAGGATCCCATGATTAAATTTTAAAATTCGTACTTTAAAATAGATGTTTAGATATATTATTATTTAAAGTTAGTTAAAGTGTTAAGGTATCAAGTATTGATTGTTAATCTTGTTAATTGCATAATGGCCTACCTTGTAAAACTCGGAAAAGTCGCTAAATATATAATTTTTTGAGAAATATTAATTTTTCAGAGTAAATTTGAGGAAAGTATAACACTATCTGACCCAACAAATGAAATAACTGTGAATAAATAAGAAGAGATAAACGGCCAAGAAAAATATTTATCGAGTTTAATAAAAATAACCAAGATTAAATGCCAAGCACTGCCAAGACTTTAATTCGGAAATTTGCAATCGACTATTAAGGTATGTATGTGCGTACTTACGAGAGTACGTCGTGGTACCACGCCAAGACTGCACGTGAATTTATTTTGAGGTATCAATATCGATATATTAATAATTAATCCTAACATTTTTGAAATGGGAATCACTAAATAGGAAATCTTTAACCCCTTTACAATGTTACAAGTGACATCTTCATAAATTCTAAACTTATACAGGAATCGTAGTCGGTCGGCCGGGTCGAATTAGCAAATGAATGACGGAAAGGGAATTTTATCGGACTCAGTCCCCGTAAATTGATCGTCACAATAATAGACAAAAAACTCATGTTTGTGTAAAGTTAATTATTCTAGTCGTTTCGTGTTCCAGTTATTGAAAAAAATATAAATTATATGACCTGGCGGCTCTAAAAAAAAAAAAACAATAGAAATAATAAACTTGTTCTAGAACTAATTACATAGAATCAGATTCTTCAGGGGCTAAATCCGATAAGTGAAGTGAATAAATTTACAGGTCTTCCCCTTCCGTCACTCAAATTTTGTCGGAAATCATTTGAATTTTTACTAAGTTATAGCCCATTCATTAAGTCAAAATTTTTAGTTACTAGAGTCGTATTCTTGATGCTGTCCCAGCTCCGATGGATTTCGACCCGAATTAATAAATAACTATGATACGTATGACAATTTTTTTGATTCGATATACTATTACATGTATTATTGCCGTTATATTAACGTTAGTAAAATTGTAAACCATTCATGCTATATACAAGCTGTTCTCAAGAGTCTATCCCAATGGGCTTAATGATATTTAAGTTGAAAAAACTGGTACCGTAAGCACCAATTGTGTTCAGTGATGGGCTGAAATTTAAATAGCATCCAGTTGGTTGCCCCACGAATTTTCAGATAAATTGGTAAAGAATCGCTTCAATTAATCGCAGTTAATCACAACGATTGGGCAACAACTCGATCGTGGGCAAATCACATTGAGGTAATTGCATTAGTAAATATGTCGACAATTAATGCGAATATTTATTTATTATTATGTAATTATCACATCAAATGAGATGTGCTAATGTTTATATAGTAAAGGCGTTTTTTAAAAAGATTCTTGGCAAATCTTAAAGCAGGAGATGCCGCTGGGTAATCGGTAAAAATACACACATATGTACTTAATTACTAACTAATTCGATCAAGACTAAAAAATTGCGGTTAGGACTAATTCCGATCCTGCCAATCAGAAAACAAGATCAAGTATAACGTAAAAAATAAAGCAATCTTAAATTTCACCCAAGAAATTACTTTCTGCGCACTAACAAAAAAAATTCCTCAAAATCTGCACGAATAATCCCAGCCGATAAAAACTTGGAAATTGGCAAGTTCTAGACTAGTAAGCTGTTATAAAGATGCAGTCACCATTAAAGGCATCTAGTTTCGGGATTGACAACCTTTTATGTAAACAATATTCGTAGACTTTAGTTGCCAATATCAAGAAATTTCACAGACAAATGTGACACAACAAAAGTTTTTTTGTTTAATTGGCTGAAATATTATTTTTTCGGGGTAGCGAACTAAAAATCTAGATGTTATACTTTGTTACATGTGTTCGAAAACTTTACATCAACATATTTTTTTCTCTTGAAATACAGTTGATACTGCCTAAATACATACTGCATACGTACTGTCTAAATGTATAATTTTTTAAAAAATTTAGTAGTAATATGTAATGTTAGTACTACTGTATATAAATGTATAAATTCATTTTTTTGTCTTTTTCATTTAATAATATCGACTATATTAGCCTTTAAAGATATTAAACTTAAAATTTAAAGCTATATATATATATATTTGTAAGTCAATATTTCAAGAATTATTAAATTAATTATTAATAATTGTAATTTTTGTAATTTTTTTTTTAATCTTCAAAGGTGAGGCCATGCCTATTTTTGTATTTTTGAAGTTATTTAGATTGATTAAAAGTATATAAATTATTTAATATTTAAAAATTTATTAAATCTAATTGTAGATAGTTTGGCTTTTGTTATATATTATAAATAGTATTTAAAAATATATTATTTGAAGATTTTATTCTTTTTATTTATAAATATTTATTTTTATAGATTATATATTTTGCAAATTGTATTGAATTAAAAAAGATTTTTAGTCTTTTTACTAAAAAAAACTGGTTAGATAGATTAATTTTAAGTATATTTTTTAAAAATTTTGAAAAAATATTTAAAATTTTTTAATTGGTATTTAATACTATAATTTTATTAAATTTTTTTTTACTAACAATTTAATAATTTTTTAAATTTTATTAACTATAACTGGTAATAATCATTATTAAAGTGCTACAGTATATCTTAAAAACCTACTAGCTAACTCATATTAGAGATATTAAGCAAAAATGCTTAAAACTCCAAAATTTAACTTTAAATAAAAATTAAACTTTTTATTTAATTTTTGTTTTATCTTAAAATTATATTCTAATTTTAAAAATAGAAGTAGTAACAAGTACTACTAGTTATTTATATATAAATTTAAAAATAAAATAAAATAAAAATAAAAGAATTATAAAAAAATCAATAAAAATTATATATAAAGACATGTTTCTATAGAGATCCTATATATTATATTTAGAGTTAGTTTCTTTATATTTTTTTAACAAAATTAAAAAGTTTGTAACTAATTTTAATTAGCCAATAATAAGTAATGTATTCTATAATCACATGTTTAATTTTAATTAGTTATTTATATAGTGTCTCTATAGAAACATATCTTTATAAAATAATGCTTAAACTTATTTATAAATTTTTTTTTATAATTTGGCAATTCTGTCTCTGTTTATTTGAGATTAAGCTATTTAAGAATTATACATTTCTATTTATAGCTATTGCTAATCTAACCAAATTAGAGACTCACCCCCGGCTTTCACCCAGATACAACCTGTCTTAGTAGTCCTTAGCCTTCTTCCAGATTTTTAACTTACTAAAAATTTATTTTTCTTTGGTTATTAGTTAGCAACTACTCACCTTGTCAGTACTATCTAATTATATTTATATTTCACAACATAATTGCATTTTAGCCATGGTCAGTACTTGTGAACAATATAAAGCATTGAATTACTAATCTTAAAGTAAGAGTATTACATTATGTATTTTCTATTTTATAAATTCTATAAAATTCTACTACTACTTAATTTCTTCTATAATCTTCTACAGTTACCTCAATTCATATTTCTATACTTTATTTTCTTATTTTTTACTAGTAGTCTGTTCTAATGCTTCAGTCTTCTATTTTTTATCTTCTTTTTGTGTTTTTTTTAGTTTCTGAGATTCACCTTGCTCTTCTTGCTCTTAATAGTATTCTTTATACAGATTTCTTTCAAAAGTATTTGTTTGTAGCTCTTTTCTTCTTTTAGTTTCTTCAATACTACTTTAGATTCTTCTAATTTTAGGTTTAGTTAGTTTGTTTAAGTCTTCTTTTACTCTTTCGTCAAGACTTTGTGTTTTCTTTCTTTCTTCTACTTTATAGTTTTATATTTTTTCTGATAAATATCTTTCAGAATCTTGTATACTTCTCTTGACTTTTTGGTCTTTTTAAAAACTTTTTTACTGTTTCAGATGTAAAGTTTTTCTTTTTTCTTTTCCAATTCTTAACTTTTTAAAACTAAGTATCTGCTTTCTTTTTCTTATTCTGTAAGTTTGTTTTTTTCTGTGTGACTTTTTTTGCAATCTAAAGTATTTTTCTTGATTTTCATCTACTTTTTTTATAATTCTTCTTGCTATTCTAAACCTGGTATTTTTCTTTTTTCTTTTCTAATTCTTAACTTCTATTGTTCTTTCTGTTATTGCATCTTGTATAGTATTTTCTTTATTTATGCTGATGTTCATTACTAATCTAATTTGTCTACTCTATTCATCCAAAGTTTCCTTTTTCTTCTTTTTCTAATCTTTAATATTATTTTATCTACTTTCTAAGTTTATTTGGTATATAAACTCTACTATCTACTTGAGTATTTTCTTTATAAGTTTTTGAATTATATAATAATAGAGTTTTTCTCTTCTATTAAGGTCATTACCAAAATTTTTGGTCTTAATTCTTTGATTAGTTTGTCTAAAGTTTTTTTCTCTGTAAGGTCTTCAATATCTCTTTTTGTGATTCTTTTTTTTAATATTTCTTCTTTTTCTTTAGCTTCTTTATATCTTTGTTCCAGAAGCTTTGCTTTCTGTTGAACTTGCATCTTCTTTTTTTCTTTTTAATGTTGTTTTATTTCCATTAATTTTACT